TATATAGTGTATATAGTTGTGTTTATTTTTTGAAAATAAAATGCAGATGTGATGAGGATTTTTTTCCCTTCTCTGCTCCCTTTCATTCATGGTTTAATGCATCTTGCGTTTTGAATAATCGTATATAAAATCCATTTTTTAAAATGAGCGAGTGAATAAAATAAATAAATGATGGTCCAGTCTGAAAGGATTTGTGCTTCTGTTGCCTGGTGGATCAGATTAGTCCAGGCGAGCGCTAGTCTTGGCATTTCTTGTTTTGTGTCCTTCCATCGGTTATTTATTCCACAAAATTTCATTTCAGATTGTTTTAAAAACCTGCCTGAACACATTACTCAACAATTAAAGCTTAAATACAAAGCAGTGTATATTTCTCGAAGCCAAACATCTTTTGCGTATATGTAAACGAGCACAGGGTAGTTGGCATCCTATGATAAAGTAATATTTAATCTAAGTGCACATGAACCATGGATCAAAGATAGTGTTGATCTTCATGACTTTGCAATGAGTACCTCTAAAGCTGCAGCAGTCGGTCTGAGAGGCAGCATCTACTTCACGAAGATAAGAGAATATTAAGAGCCCAGAGAGGTCAGACGTCCTGTGTCTGAAGGACTTGACTGCTGCAGTGAATCTGCAGCCAAGAGGAAACTATTGATCCTGTACAAGTACACACGGCTCGCTACAGTCTCGCGCAGCGTATCAGCTTGTTGGCTGTGAAGTCTGAAGATAAAGGGCTTCAGATCATAGCGCTGACTGATAACACACCTCGATTGGCTCGGCTAAATGTTTACACAAAGAAACACGACTTCGGCTTTTTAGAGAAATCGTAGAAAGAGAAACGGGAAGAATTAACTATCATTTTTTTAAAATATGTATGAATATGTAGATGAAAACAAATGTTTTCTTAGTTCAGATTGGCGTTAGTGGAGGTGTAGCAGTCTTAGGCCCTGAGGGGTGAAGCTGTTGGATGTTCTTGATTTGTTGAAGAAACGTCTGGATTTCACATTAAACTGCACATATAGGAGGGGAACATTATGAAACACACCCCGACACTTCAAAATAAGACAAAAGGTTTTATTATAGTACATTTTTCTATTAAAAAAACAAATGTATAACTTGGTATGGCAACAGCATATTCAAATTGAAGTTACACATAAAACCAGGAGGAAAAAAGTGTTTTAAGTTTGTAATAAACATCTGCGTGTGGACGAAGGTTACGTTGAGAAATGTGCGGCCGTGTGTTTTTAGTTTCTTTGCAACTGTGAGCACTTGAACCAGAGGCTGCAGCTTCTGATTATTTTGGTACTTGAACATTTTATTGATCTCTTAATTCAATAAGTAACTGGATAAATGCTGTTGCTGTATTAAAAGGCAATAATTAAAACAACAACAAGGTTTACTGCAGTCAAATTTCATGTTTTCTAACTAGTTTTCTGTATATTTAGTCAGTTTCAACATTAACTGTGTTTGCTGAATCGTTGACGTTATTCAGTTTTAATTTGTGCAAATTTTTCCATTTTTTTAGGCATTTATTTATTTATTCTCACTTGTTGCACTGTTACGTTTTTATTCTTTACTTACTGCTTCTAAACTTTGTGACAGTAAATAACAAAACATGGTGATGCCGTGTGAATTAAATGAAGCGTTAACAGCAAAGTGTTTTTTTTTAGTTAGTCAATGAGTCATTCAGCCCTTGAACCCAGCCACCTTCACACTTTTCACCACCGGGAAACATTTCTGTCTTGAATATTTTAGCTTCAGGTCACTCAAACACAAATATTTAACCAGAAATTTGTTTGTGCACAAACGCCGTGTGATTTTCACAATTCACGGTCATTGTAAAGCTGCAGCGCTGCGTGTCCTCGGATGTAACGCCTGTGCAACAAGAGGAAGTGAAAACTGACTCAGGAGGAGTTTTTCACAAGGTCATAAAGTGAAGAAAGCACCAGCTGGAGGAAATGAATGGCACGGCTGGTTTCAAGGTCTCAGAATCTGCTGAGTAGGAAGGGGAGGTAGAGCTGAGCCTTGTAGAGTAGATGCACCAACAGATGTGTGAATGCATGGGTGATCACTGGTGTTTGAGGGTCTAAAGTGCACGTGCTTGAATTTTTGGATGTTTAGACATTTGTCTTTGCCTTGCTGACTGTCTTTGTCTCCCCCTGCAGGGCTTGAGAAACAAGCCAAAGAAGACGGGACATGTCAAACCAGATCTGATAGACGTGGATTTAGTTAGAGGTAAGACGTCACTGACAGTTTTAGATTTCAACACCTACATTAGCTTTGTTCACATGTGCAAAATTATTTGACCGGATTGAAATGTTTTTGGATTAAATAACTCAAATGTGTCGTGGGCACAATCCGTTCATAACGAGCGTTCACATGCAGCGAGCTTCCATTCTAAACAGAAGTACTGACATGTGCAGAGTGGTAAACTCCCTAAAAAAAACACAGAAAAAGAATCTAAAAAAAGTTAAGTCAGGTCCTGACTTAATATTTTTTAGATTCTTCTACCTGGATTATTGAGCATGCATCCAGACACAGAAGAAGTTCTTCTTCCGGGATGAACGTAAACAAACATGGGCTCCCAAAATGGACCCGCGCCAGGTTTGAATGACGGTGGAGACGTTACTGCACCCCCTCACTGAGCTGCAGGTAACACAGATCATTGTGAGCTCTTTCAAAGTTTCTAGTAGAAATGTTGTCGCTCGCCGACCAGTTTTGCTTCCCCGACATGCTAATGTTATTAGCATTAGTAAACCACCCGTATGTTCTGATCACAAATTCTTTCGGATCGCGCTGAATAAACAAAAAATAACCCGACCGGGGCGTTTACGTGACACATTTTTATTCCGAATGGCTGTTTAACCTGATTACTTGTGTCCATGTAAACATAACTACTGTTGAGCCTCGTAGTCCTAGTGACTACCAATTCATTCAACCTTTATTTATACAGGTTAATCCCACTGATAGTTGTACCATTGTTAATCCCATTGCCTGGTCCTAATACTGCGAAACTACATTTATGTGTTGGGTTTAGATTTAAGACTAAAAGTGTCCTGGTGCATGCTCAATAATCCAGGTAACCAGATTAAGGCCCCATTTCCACGAGGCAGCTGCAGTCTAAAGTTTTTCTGCACTAACAACAGTTGTAATAAACGACAGAGCAGAGTGTTTTTGTGCTACTCATCCTTGTTCAGCATGTAGGAGCTAAACTAATAAAATCCAGTTCCAAAGAGACGTTGGCGCATTCACCAGTTTGGACGTGACTGTCGTGCAGATGCTGCATGTGCATGCAGCTGAGCCCTGCATCAGGGTTGCCAGATAAATTGAAAATGTATTTTTTACTCTCTCCTTTTCCGTGCACATGTTCACTAAACACAGCACACCTCATCTTGCAACACGCTTACATGACAGTTTGGGGCGGCTGTGGCTGAGTGGTTAGAGCAGTCGTCCTCCAATGCGAGAGTTGGGTTCAAATCCACCTGCAGTCACATGCTGAAGTGTCCCTGAGCAAGGCACTGAACCCGTCATAGCCTCTGATGTGTGTCCCATCAGTGTATGAATGTGATCTAAAGCTCTGATTAGTCTCATTAGAATGATTTGTTCCATTAGCTTTGTGGAGATCTAGTAGAGTGCTGTGTGGATGGGTAGATGAGGCACAGATTGTAGTGTAAAGCGCTTTGAGTATCTTGAAATAAGATAGAAAGGCGCTAAATAAGTACAGTCCATTTACCATTTAGGTCTAAATACTATTTTTGTGACCTCAATGAACACTGAAAAACCATTAACGTTTCCAGAGGTTGTTCTTGTGTAAACGGGGCCTGAGTCAAGTCCTCTGAACAGATTCTTCTTTGTTGAAACGTTTCGTCTTTTATCTGGAACACTTCTTCAGTCTGAGGCGCTGCAATCTTATAAATAGCACCTTCTCATACCTTCTCAGCAGTAAAAAGAAACTGGTTGCAGTTTGCTGGTTACATCCAGAACTAGCTGTTCACATGTAAAAGGACCATCAGCCTAACAATTGGTCGTTATTGCCCCGATGGCCGAGTGATGCTAGCAGGAACAGCATTTAGTGCTTGAAATAGTGAAAAATAGGTGCATTTTCTCTTCTGAATTCTTGGTGTTTGCAACCAGTGAGCCATGAGGCCACAGTATGAGGGGCCAGTTTTTAACTTTATCCTGATTGAAAGCTGGTCAGGACAGAAACAGGAAAAGTGGAAAAAGAAAAGTCATCTGTGGAGGAAAAAGAAAAGATTTAAGTAAAGCTGTCTAAAAACAGAAACGTAAAACTCAAACATGACTCTGGCGTCTCTTCTCTCCTCCGAGCGTGTTGTTTTTGTTTTAATCGGGTCATTTTGTGACTTTTTTCAGGTTCAGCATTCGCAAAGGCCAAACCAGAGAGTCCGTGGACGTCACTGACCAGGAAGGGCATCGTGAGAGTCGTCTTCTTCCCGTTCTTTTATCGATGGTGGATCCAGGTCACCTCCAGGGGCATTTTCCTCCTCCTGTTGGCTCTCTACCTGCTGCAAGGTAAGACGGTCCACCGTTCTTCTCTCATGTGAGTTTTGACTAGCGACAGTCTTTATTTCATTAAACAAAGTCTAAAATGTGTTTAACGGTTCAGAAACATGTCCAGGTCTTTACTGGGTGTTCTTCTTCCCCACAGTGGCAGCAGCAGTCCTGTACGTCACCATCCCTCAGCCTCATGGGATACCGGCCACCGAGGTGTTCGGAGCCATCTGGCTCATGTTGCTGCTGGGAACTGTCCACTGTCAGATCGTCTCCACCAGGACCCCAAAACCTGCCTCCAGCAGCGGGGGGAAGAGACGCAGGTAGGTGGAAACAGTGACGGGATCATGTGATCAGAAAACAAGACAAGCAAAACCAGTGAGGAGACACAGAGAGGAAGATGAGGCTCCTCACACAGAGGAGGATTCAGTGAAGATAAAATAAACACGGGACGAAACTAATTCAAACTTTTAAAATCTATTAAAGAATTAATGTTTTGTTGCAGCCGGGCGACTTTTAGGAGTTTGACTCAAAAGAGTCGCAACAAATCCAGACATGCATCAATTTGCACCCATCTGCTCATAATTATCAGACTTTCCCAACTATATGTAGCTTTTCTCATTTTACTTTATTGATAAATACCATTTTTTTAGTTTTATTTGTTTAAAATAAGTACTTAAAATCTTTAAAGATTGAAGGAAACTGTAGTTTTGTGGCATGTGTTTGCTGTGCTTTGTTGCTGTGTTTGGCTCACGACAGACTTCGATCCGTGGTTTCATTCAGGAAAGAGTTTAGGGGATAAAACAACTTCGGTAACATTTAGAGGAAATGACAACAATTAATTTAATTAATTCAGTTTAAACACATTTATTCCTTCCACTGCAATTAGTGAGTGTGACTCAGCAGTAATTCCTTCAACGCTGAGTCATAGTAAGAGTCACAGCACAATCTGTTTGTCTGTTCACACAAAACAAAAGTTGAGGGATTTAAAACACATTTTTATGCAGCAGTCATGTAAAAATCCTTTTTAATCTGAATAATTTGAATCAAAGTGCTCAGATTTGTTTGTCCTGTTTAGATTAAAGTTGGATAACATCAGGAAGTTGTTTTTATGGTAGAAATATAATAAAAGTTGTGACCAAAATGCTTTATATTTAATATAATTAAAATGTGACTTTTTCTTCTTTTGAATTTGAAAATCAAAACTTTCCTGTTTGCCTTTTTCTTACAATATGATGAACTTTTTTATGGTCAATCCTGCAAAAGTAGATGTTAAATGTTTTAAAATCTAACTTTCTCAGGTCATACAGATGATTCTACTTGTGCAGGATAAAACCCCACGGTTGAGTTTCTTTTTGGTAATTACTGTAACAGCCGCAGTGTCCACTGGGGACCAGTTTTACTGTCATTTTAAATTGATCTTTATTGGGCTCTGAAGTGTTCTTGATCAGAGACAGAACCCGGTCAGGAACCCGGTGGACACAGCGCTGTAGTTTAGACACTTCTCGGTCTCCAGGTTCACTTCAAGTCTCTCTTTAATCTCCGTTCTTTCCAAACTGAAGGAAGTTGAGGAAGGCATCTCAGATGGAGGTGCATAGGGAAGGAGACGGGTCTAGCACTACCGATAACACACAGGAGGGGGCGCCACACTCTCACTCAGCCAGCACCACATACAGCCTGGGCGCTTTCTTCCAAGATTTCTGGCATGATATCTGTAAAGCTGGGTGTGTATTTTCATTTCCACTCTTCCTGTGATGAGATGATATGGAGAGACGAGGCTGTGCTCGCCCCAGTCTAAAACTAAATAAATGAATCTCGTGGAACTTGATCGGACTTTGAACTGGATGAGCCCATCCTCGCCTCAGACCTGACCTCTGCTTCTCAGCTGCAACATCCTCTCCTTCTGAAGGATGAAGTGTTCAAATCCAAATGATTCAAAACAAAACGTACCTTTTCTAATCTGACTGATTTAAGAGCGACGGGGGGATTTTGCAGCTAATTTTGATTGTAAATATGTTTTAAAGAAGCATGTGGTGGAGTTTGTTTTTGTTTCAGCAAACTGCAGCAGTGTGGGACATCCAAACTTTTCCTGATTAATCGCACATTAAATTTGTAAAGTACTGAGTATATTGCAGTAATCTAGTTGTAACTTTAGGTGACATTTGGAGCCACTAATGCCCCGTCCATACTTCATGCATGTTCCACGGTGTTGTCGAATGCGTTTCATGTTCCTACTAAAATGAGAACGCGGTTCTCTCCTCTGCCCTCTAACGGTTTCACCTGCCCTGCAGATCCAAGAAGTCCAAGCTTTCCATCGATAAGTCGACAGAGACCGATAACGGTTATGTGTCGCTCGACGGCCGGGTGACCAACCGCAGCAGCGAGGAGGGTCTTCAGCTCCGCGAGCAGAGATGTGATTTATTAAACCGAGCCGACGAGATGTGCTGGAGCCCACACATCCAGCCCACACAAAGTCACGCAGCCCGCAGCTCGGGCAGCAAGAAGGTAATCCATCACGACGCATCCATTTATTCTGTTCCCAACATCTGTCACATCTGGATGTGCTAAACGTGTCTTGGTTTTTAAGGAGCCGGCGTCAGATGAAGCATCGAGCGAGGAGGACCCTGAAGCGTCCTACAGCGCCCTCCGCAGGGGAGTGGAAAGAATGAACAGTGACAGCGCGCTCAGAAACCGCAAGAGTACACACCATTACAAGAAACACTACACTGTGGAGGTAGTAACACTTTAATCACCACCTGGAAACATTTACAGACTCACTGCACACGTTTGTAAAAATAAAGTCCTGTTGTGTCCATCAGGATGTCCCCAAATCCGGGACCAGCTGCAGCTCCAGATGTTCTAGTCTGAGGACTCAAGACTCGGAGAGCACTCGGCACGAGTCAGAAACGGAGGACTTGATGTGGGAAGACTTCCTGCACTGTGCTGAGTGCAGATCGTCCTGCACGTCAGAGACAGGTGAGAGGGACAGAGGTCAGAGACACACCTGCAGGTTACAACATATAGATGACCATTGTCTCACGTTCCCTCAGAGGGAGAAGCAGGAGGAACATCTGTGTGTCCTCCAGCTAAAAAGGAGTACAGAGACGACCCTTTCCATCAGGTCAGTAAGTGTTTCATTTTAAAGGGATAGTCTGGTCATTCTTGAAGCGACAATCTGTCAAATAGTTAAATGTTCAGGCTTTTTTCTATAAAATGACAAAGTAAAAGAAAGGTACAGTAGAGCATTACACCAGTGTTCATACTCACTGAAACAGATGTGTGGATGGTCTGCCAGCTTCAGCATCAGTGCTATAGCTCAAACTATGTTTAGAGAAGAAGTTTTATAGCCTGGACCTCAGCGCTCCATGACAGATCCCTTCAAAAATAACCAGACTATCTCTTTAACTGTGCACGTGTTCGCTGCAGAGCCACGTTCCCTGGCTGCACAGCTCAAACCCAGGCCTGGAGCGAGTGAGCGCCATCGTGTGGGAGGGGAACGAGTGCAAGAAGGCCGACATGTCCGTCCTGGAGATCAGTGGGATGATCATGAACAAAGTGAGTGACGGGTACAGCTTCAAACTTTAATGGAGTGGATCGCTGATGTTTGTGGTTCTGTGTTCAGGTGAACCTTTACACTCCTGGTATCGGGTACCAGGTGTTTGGGAATCTGGTTTCAGTGGCACTTGGACTCACACCCTTTGTCTACAGGTATAAACATTATCTCTACTTCTTTAGTTGGATTTTGACCCAGGTGTACTCCACATATCTGAACCTGTGGCTCTCTTCCACTCCTCCATGTAGAGGTCAACGACACATCCACACTTTTTCTGTAAAATAAGTGGCGGGAGGACGGAAATGCAGCAGGATATAGATCAGGTCCAGTTTCCTCTGTCCGTGCAAGTAAAAAGATGAAGATGACAAACAGGACAAGTTTCACCCAGGACCAGAGCTGGACCTCTGTCTTTCCACCACTTATTTCAAACAAAAAGGACCTTCAGGGTCAGACTGTGGATGATCTCTGCATGGAGGAAGTGGAAAAGCCACTAGTTCAGATATGATGATGACACCTGGGTGTGTTTTGTTACATAGTCTTAGCTAGAGAAAGCAGAACACATGTGTGTGTGTGAGAGAGATTGTTCAAAGAGTCATCTACAACAAAGATCTATCACTTAAAATGAAAACACTTTCTCACCCTCTGCAGGCTGGTCCAGTACAGCGAGTTGGATCAGCTGACCAAGCTCTCGGCAAATGAGATGCTGTCTGTAGCTCTGGGAGCCGGGTCGGGATCAGACGCCTTGGTAATCACCATGGTAACGCTCAGCTTCCTGGTGCGCGTTTGCCTAATATGGCTCTTCTTCTTCCTGCTCAGTGTAGCAGAAAGAACCTACAAACAGGTGACAGAAAGGAGTCCTGATAAATTACTCTCAGTTGTGAAAATCTAATAACGTTCACGTCCTTCCTTCATCTTTAATTGTCAGAGGCTGCTGTTTGCCAAACTGTTCGGTCACCTCACTTCAGCTCGCAGAGCCAGGAAGTCTGAAGTTCCCCATTTCAGACTGAAGAAAGTTCAGAATATCAAGATGTGGCTGTCGTTACGCTCCTACCTCAAGGTACATCTGTCATCATGTCTAACGTGGACTAATAATGTTACAGCATTTTAATTCAGCTGATGTCTCTGGGAGCTTACAACAGATTTCAATGTTTACTGAATTTGCAGAGACGGGGTCCTCAGCGTTCAGTGGATGTCATTGTTTCGTCTGCCTTCCTTCTTACTTTGTCAGTGGTCTTCATCTGCTGTGCCCAGGTAACATTTAGAAGCTTAAATGGTATTTTTATTATTTAAGTTTGCTGATCGTACAGGACCCCTCAGAAAGGGGGAGTCTTCCAAGACCAAACCAGAGGGAGTGGATTAGCTCTATTTATTATTATTATTCAATATTAGGTGCAACTTTACTGGGTTAACTACAAAATAACACGTACGGTGAAAAATTGTGAGATTTCCTAGAAGTAATCAAGGTGACTTTAATCTCAAGTGGTCCTAATAATCCTATATCAGTTTTTGTCACGTTCGATTTGTAACCAAACTGATGCACGTACCTGACTTCTGTCCAGCTTCTCCACGTCCATGAAACGTTCCTGGAGTACCACTATAACTGGGAGCTGGTGCTCTGGTGCTCCAGTCTGTCTCTGTTCCTGCTCAGGTTCGTCACTCTGGGCTCAGAGACCAGCAAGAAGTACAGCAACACCTCCATCCTGCTGACAGAACAGGTACACGCAGGACATGAAACACACGGAGCGTCACCTTCAGTCAGCCACACTTATCCTGGTTTCTCCAACAGATCAACTTGTACCTGAAGATGGAGAAAAAACCAAACAAGAAGGAGGAGCTGACGCTGGTCAACAATGTTTTAAAACTGGCTACCAAACTACTCAAGGTCCGTTTGACTCACAACTCTCCTAAAACTCTTGTAAAACCCTTTTTAAACACTTGTTTTCTTCTTCCCTTCAGGAGTTGGACACTCCGTTCAGGTTGTACGGTTTGACCATGAACCCTCTGCTTTACAATATCACCCAGGTGGTCATCTTGTCTGCTGTATCAGGAGTCATTTCTGACCTACTGGGCTTTAATCTGAAGGTAATCCAGTACAGGACCTTCTTTTATATACACACAATTTTTAAACAATCATGTCTGAGCTGTTTGGTCTGAAACTGTTTCTTTGTTCACAGCTGTGGAAGATCAAATCATGACCGAGACGCCCGCCCTTCAACGTTTCCACTTTGTGCAATTCACAAACTATTTATTTACCCTCTCAGTGTTTTTACTTAAGGTTTATTTTAATTCTATGTTTTGTGTTCTACAGCACAAAAAAAAAGCTATTTTTGCCTTTAACAAAAAGTGTTATGAACATGTTATTGTCATGTTTAGGTTCTCAGTTGCATTTGAGATTTGATTTTCTTCATTTGTAGGCAGCATCATGAGACGCTGATGAGGCTACATTTATTTTCTCAGACAGGAATTTAAGTCATTTTGTTTTCAATGTATTCGTCTATTTTTTTTAAGTCCCAAATTTGGAGTTGTAATATGTTTAAATCTAAACATATGCTGTAAAATACTTAAACTTTCATATTCAACATTTAAAATTCACCAGGCCGTAGATGTAAACACTTAAGAGTGAACATACCGGATGTCAGACGTCACTTTCCAGTGGATAAAGTTGAAACTGCTTCGCTGTAGTCGAGGAGAACGTCCCTGCAACGACAGTTTCATCATTAAAACTTACCAGTGTCTCCAGCAATATCTTTACCTTGTGCTCCCTCTTTTTTTATGTAAAGGTAAAATCCCTCAGATTCTTTAGTATATTAATAAGTATCAAGTTGAATTAGCTTTTTATGATTAGATTTATCCAACAAGACTGAACGTATTTGAAATAATATTTCAAAGATTCTTGTAAAACGTTAAAAACTGACAACGTTGTGACATTTCTTAGAAACTCTTTGGGTTCAACAACTGGCTTCAGGTGGAAAGTCAACCCAGTTTAGTGCTCTTTAAATTTTTTTTAAATGTCAAACTCCTTTCCCGTCATTAGATTAGTTGAAATGAAACGCCATCCGTCTCTTTTTGAACGAAGATATGCACTTTAAAAACAGGCGTCAAGTTACATCTTGTTTGTGTGTGACGCTTCACATCGCTCTTAGTTTCATCTACACGGTACGTGAAGACGCTCACAGAAAACATGTTGCACAACGTGATTAAAATGCTGACAAGCTGCCTCAGCAGATTTCACACAAGCTCCATTAGAAAAACTGTGTTCCGTAGTTTTAAATCAATAGTAGAACAGAGTGTTTGAGGAGGAAGACCAAAGTGCTTATTTAAATGTTTTCGTCTCTACGGAGAAAAGAATGTATTTGTAGTCACGCTTTAACGTCTGTTTCCCTTCAGAAAGTCTTTGGTCTGTGTTTTTATCTGCTTTCATCGGTCGTTTGTAAAGAATGTTTATTTCTCATGCTGACTCAAAGTGTTCATAAGAAACAATTAAGAATTGAATAAAAGTGAACCCGAGCGAGGACTATGAACATTTAGGTTTATTTGTTTGTTTTTTTAAAAACTGGTCTGTCCACCAAGTCTTCACTTTTATAAGAAAAATAAAAAACATAAACTCACTCTTTTGTTCTTTGAGTATTCTGTTGCTCAATTATGTTCAAACATACCATGTCTGTTTAGATCTTTATCATTACAGCATTAAGACTCGTTTTAATGACTAAAATGGTTATTATTTTCTTTAGTCAATTACACCTCACGATGTTTTACTATGTAGTTAGTATCTGTTAACAAAATATCAAAACACTACACACATTTTATTTACGAGAGTTGACTAATAATGAATGTATATCTGAGACCTGAATCAATCCACTTTAAGAAGAAAGCAACTGCCAAAAGAAGACAGATGGCTTTAATTCAGAGAACATGTTGGGGATCAGTATCAGCTACTACCAAACTAAATGTTAGATCAATATGTAATAAACCGTTTAACTTCCAAACTGATGAAAAATAACACAACCTATAGTATGACTTCCAAACTGATAAAAAATGACACATACTATAGTA